AACAAGTCTAAAAATAGATGTGCACCAGTATACCAGGAAACAATAAACGGGTCATGTCAATGGAAACCTTCTCTTTCCTCCCTGCCTTGTTTTGATTAAGACTAACTGGGTCGTAAACTTGGTCTGTTACCAAAAAGCTCTCATATCAATGAGAAAGTGAGAGGGAAAAAATAGAGTGCACGAGGACTATTTTAAAGGGACAGAAGGAAATGTTGAAACACTGGGTCTACATGGATGGGTGCCATTAAGTAAACATGGTACTAGGACTGCTGATGACTCTTACAGGCGAGCAGAACAGTCACAGATGCAAGAGGAAGAGGTTGAGCCAAACAAGTAGGCATGTTCTCTTACTGAGTTGGATAGGTTTTTTATTTTTTTTTTCTGAAGTGACTGCACCTTTGACTCATCATTGGCTTCAGCTACAAGTGTTCATTTATAGCATTGGCCAAAACAAGAAGGAGGAGATGTAACACGAATTGAACAGGAAGTTACTAATTCTGGCACTCAGGTTCAACACCAGACCTGCACTGAGTTCAAAAGCATCCATTTTCTGTCAAACATAGTTTTGTTTTGGCATGCATAACTTCTGTTAAAGCTGCAATTTTCAAGTTTCTTAAGAACGTTCTAACATAGCATGTCTATAAATATACTGTGAAGATTAACATAAATAAAATAAATAAATAAATAAAGTTGGTCTCTCGCATTTGTCTGAAAACCTCTGCCAAGAATCAAAATCAACTTTATTATCATTGAACCCGCGTCATGGAACAACAAAATTTGAGATATACACATAGACAAAACAGGTTCAGGCAGGTTATTAGAACAGCCACTCCACGGTGCTCCAATAACACGTTTTGGACCAAAAGCAAGTACTGGACCATCTGGTTGTAAGCCGCCCTTCCCTGAGACCTCCATTCTTTCTGCACTTGCCAACAGAACACCACTGGTGTGCGAGGTTCTCTGCTCAATAATATCAGAGAAGGAGAAAAAGCCGGCTGCTACCACTTCAACCTTACCTTCTGAGATGCAAACTTGTATTTGATGTGATAAAGAAAGACAAAAAAAAATCTAGCAATTACATCTATTCTTATTAACGGAAACAAAATGAAATACTAAAATAAAATGAACATTGGATAAAAAATGTTGTCCCCCCCAAAAGAAAAAGAAAAAGAAAAAATAATTTTACTTAAGGAACTCCAGGCGGATCTCATCCACCCCTGGAGCCTTGAAGAGCAGCCCGAAGACCTCTTATGATGAATTATATAAATGGAAATCGTGTTCCCTTGCCCAGACGTGGGTCACCGGGGCTCCCATCTGGAGCCAGGCCTGGAGGTGGGGCACGCTGGCGAGCGCCTGGTGGCTGGGCTTTCACCCATGGAGCCCGGCCGGGCCCAGCCCGAAGAGGAAACGTGGGTCCCCCTTCCCATGGGCTCACCACTCATGGGAGGGGCCAAAGGGGTCGGGTGCAGTGTGAGACGGGTGGTAGTCGAGGGCGGGGACCTTGGTGGTCTGATCCTTGGCTACAGAAGCTGGCTCATGGGACATGGAATGTCACCTCTCTGGTGGGGAAGGAGCCTGAGTTGGTGTGTGAGGTTGAGAGGTTCTGACTAGATATAGTCGGACTCACCTAAAAGCATGGCTCTGGCTCTGGAACCAGTTTCCTTGAGAGGGGTTGAACTTTCTACCACTCTGGAGTTGCTCTCACTGAGAGGCGCCGAGCAGGGGTGGGCATACTAGTTGCCCCCCATCTTGGTGCCTGTACGTTGGGGTTTACCCCAGTGAATGAGAGGGTAGCCTCCCTCCGCCTACGTGTGGGGGGACAGGTTCTGACTGTGGTCTGTGCTTATGCACCAAACTACAGTTCAGACAACCTACCCTTTTTGGAGACCTTGGAGGGAGTGCTGGAAAGCGCTCCTTCTGGTGACTCCCTCGTTCTGCTGGGGGACTTTAACGCTCAACTGGGCAACGACAGTGAGACCTGGAGAGGTGTGGTTGGGAGGAACGGCCCCCCTGACCTGAATTCGAGTGGTGTTTTGTTATTGGACGTCTGTGCCAGTCATGGATTGTCCATAATGAACATCATATTCAGACATAAAGGTGTCCATATGTGCTCTTGGCACAGGATACCTTAGGTCGCAGCTCGATGATCGACTTTGTTGCTGTTTCGTCTGACCTACGGCCGCATGTCTTGGACACTCGGGTGAAGAGGGGGCGGAGCTGTCAACTGACCACTACCTGGTGGTGAGTTGGCTCAGATGGTGGGGGAGGATGCCGGTCAAACCAGGCAGGCCCAAACGTATCGCGAGGGTCTGCTTGGAATGTCTGGCAAAGTCTCCTGTCAGAAGGAGCTTCAATTCCCACCTCCGACAGAACTTCCAAAATGTTCCAGGGGAGGCGGGGGACATTGAGTCTGAGTGGGCCCTGTTCCATGCCTCCATTGTTGAGGCGGCCGACCAGAGCTGTGGATCGTCGGTGTCTGTCGTGGTGGCAACCTCCGAACCCGCTGGTGGACACCGGCGGTTAGGGATGCTGTCAAGCTGAAGAAAGAGTCCTATCAGGTCTTTTTGGCATATGGGACTCCAGAGGCAGCAGACGGGTACCGGCAGTCCTAGCGGAACGCAGCTCGGGTGGTCGCCAAGGCAAAAACCCGGGCATGGGAGGAGTTTGGTGAGACCATTCGAGAAAGACTTCCGTACGGCTTCAAGGAGATTCTGGTCCACCATCCCGCGCCTCAGGGGGGGAAAGCAGTGCACTACCAACACTATCTATAGTGGGGACAGTGTGCTGCTGACCTCTACTCAGGACGTTGTGGATCGGTGGGCAGAATATTTCGAAGACCCCCTCAATCCCACTGACACGTCTTCCAGTGAGGAAGCAGAGTCTGGGGACTTTGGGTTGGCCTCTCAAATCTCTGGTGCTGAGGTCACTGATGTGGTTAAAAAGCTCCTCTGTGGCAAGGCTCCAGGGGTGGATGAAATCCGCCCGGAGTTCCTTAAGGCTCTGGATGTTGTGGGGCTGTGTTGGCTTATGCAGCTCTGCAATATAGCATGGACATCGGAGATAGTCCCACTGGACTGGAAGACTAGGGGTGGCGGTCCCCTACTACAGGGGGATCACACTCCTGAGCCTTCCTGGTAAGGTCTTTTCATCGGTTCTGGAGAGGAGGGTCCGTCGGACTGCTGAACCTCAGATTCAGGAGGAGCAATGTGGTTTTCATCCTGGCCATGGAACACTTGACCAGCTCTATACCCTTAAGGGGATCCTGGAAGGTGCGTGGGAATTTGCCCAACCAGTCTACATGTCCTTTGTGGATTTGGAGAAGGTGTTTGACTGTGTCCCTCGGGGGGCCCTGTGGTGGGTACTCCGGGAGTATGGGGTACCAGGCCCTCTGATACGGGCTGTTAGGTCCCTGTATGACCAGTGTCAGAGCTTGGTCCGCATTGCTGGCAGTAAGTCGGGCTCGTTCCCAGTGAGAGTTGGACTCCAACAAAGCTGCCCTTTGTCACCGATTCTGCTCATAACTTTTATGATCAGGATTTCTAGGCACAGCCAAGGTGTGGAGGGCATCCGTTTTGGTGGCCTGAGGATCAGGTCTCTGCTTTTTGCAGATGATGTTGTCCTGTTGGCTTCATCAGAACGCGATCTTCAGCTGTCGCTGGAGTGGTTCGCAGCCGAGTGTGAAGCAGCTGGGATGAGAATCAGCTCCTCTAAATCTGAGACCATGGTCTTGATTCAGAAAAGGGTAGAATGCCTTCTCCGGGTCAGGGATGAGGTCCTGCCCCAAGTGGAGGAGTGTAAGCATCTCGGGGTCTTGTTCCCGAGTGAGGGAAAACTGGAGCGTGAGATCGCTGGGCGGATTGGTGCTGTATCTGCAGTGATGCAGGCGTTGTACCGGTATGTCGTGGTGAAGAGAGATCTGACTCAGAAGGCGAAGCTCTTGATTTACCAGTCGATCTATGTTCCTAACCTCACCTATGGTCATGAAATTTGGGTAGTGACCGAAAGAACGAGATTGCGATGCAAGCGGCCGAAATGAGTTATGGTAAATGGTCTGTATTTGATATAGTGCCTTCTAGAGTCCTGGAACCCCCCAAGGTGCTTTACAACACAATCAGTCATTCACCCATTCACACACACACATTCACACACTGGTGGGGATGAGCTACAATGTAGCCACAGCTGCCCTGGGGCGCACTGAAAGAGGCGAGGCTGCCGAGCACTGGCGCCACCGGTCCCTCCGACCACCACCAGCAGGCAACGTGGGTTAAGTGTCTTGCCCAAGGACACAACGACAACGACAGACTGAGCGGGGCTCGAACCTGCAACCTTCCGATTGCGGGGCGAGCACTTAACTCCTAGTTTTCTCCGAAGAGTGGCTGGGCTCTCCCTTAGAGATAGGGTGAGGATTTCAGTCATTCGGGAGGGGCTCGGAGTAGACCCTCTGCTCCTCCACATCGAGAGGAGCCAGTTGAGGTGGCTCGGGCATCTGGTCAGGATGCCTCCTGGACACCTCCCTGGTGAGGTTTTCTGGGCACGTCCAACTGGGAGGAGGCCTAAAGAGAGACCCAGGACATGGTGGAGGGACTATGTTTCTCACCTGGCCAGAGAACGCCTTGGAATTCCCCCAGAGGAGCTGGCCCAAGTGGCTGGGGAGAGGGAAGTCTGGACCTCTCGCTTTAGGCTACTCCCCCCGTGACCTGACTCCGGATAAGCGGATGAAAATGGATGAAAGGATGGATCAAGTGTCTATAATTAATAACGAAGCAGTCTAAGTTGAAAAGAATAAATTTTTATAGTGCAAGGAGCCAATGTCCACTCTATGGTTTCATCCGGCATCGCAGATTTCGGGTTCCAGCAGAAGCCTCTCAGGAAAGATACCCGAAGGAGGAAGGGAGTGTTCCGTGACGGTGTGTGCGTTCAAAACCTAGCTTGTTTGCAGATTTGCCATAACAGCTTTACTGCTTTCAGCAACACACAAACAAATATGAAATCAGGCTTACCACAGACTTTGATGTCACAGTACTCCCACACTGTGTTTGGATCAGTGGTGAAACACCAGGGTCGGTGACGTCCATTTGGATTCCTACAGTAGTTATCATCCAGGCCTTTATTGGGGTACCTAACGCAAAACATAACAATCTTGTTATAAAATGAAACATAACCTGGAACAGACATTTTCTTCCTAAAAGCACAGGAGAATAAGTGGAGGATCGATTCACAACTGCACTCAGCTGTCAAATTTGTGGATAGACACCATCTGTTAAGAGCTCGGGGAAATGAGCAGGATAATAAGTTGCAGCACTACAGGTGTTGAACTGTAAGTCATTCCAGATCCCTTTAGGCTTGTAGCCTCCAGACATGTAGATCCAAGATGAGGGTCCTATCATTATATTAGGAGTTGAGCAATCCGGGACCTGGTTTACACAAACAGTGGGATGATTAAGGACGTGTTAATGAGTCGCTGATAATCCAGACCACCTGCCACCCAGCTCGCTGGAAGAATCTTGATACAGACTCACAAACCTGACATGCAACCACACACACTCACACACGCACGACTAAGAATGTGTAAGGAATACTTGTTCAGATTGAAATAAATGGCCTCCCTAATTCAGAAATGAGGGGCTTTCCCAGCATACCACTCCTAAAAGCACACTCACTTAATGAATTCTCACAGGGTTCCTCTGGGAAAATGATTTCACTGGCTGACTCAACACCACGTCATCTACAGATGGGCGACCCGTAAAGTATTTTCTTTAGCTTTTTGATACTAAATGGCATGACAAGAAAGAGAGAGACAGAGAGAGAGAGAGAGAGAGAGAGAGAGAGAGAGAGAGAGAGAGAGAGAGAGAGAGAGAGAGAGAGAGAGAGAGAGAGAGAGAGAGAGAGGTTCACCTCTTGGGGTGGTACAGGTGTTTGTGAGGTTCTTCCAAATCCCACCGCTGGCATTCTTTTCCACTCTCTGTTTGGTCCATGGGTCCTCGGTAATCTTCCCCATTACAGTTCACACACTCGACTGTAGAGCAGCAAACAGAAAATACATAAGCCTTTAAATAGAAGTTTTTAAATAAACTCAGAAATTCACAAGAAAAACAACAAACTTACAAACTTCAGAGTAAATCCAAACAAATAAACAAATGCAAGCCTTCTCCCTGCGAATACCAACCAATCACAGCACCTTGGTAGTGAATTGCTAAATTGAGCTCTGTTATATTTTAATGCATGTGAGCACGATATGTGTTTGATTAATGAGCACAACAATGTCTGATGAAGCGGGGGCCACCATTCGCTACATGGTCAGTAGTGTAAACAACATAAAAGATGCTTATTGGAAACAGATGTTCATGAGCCCAGTCATGAGATGACACAAGACTGGTGTTTTCCTGCTCATACACGCCATGTTTGTGTCTGTTTTCCATTATTGCCAGTTAATTCTTGGGACAACCCCTCCAGTCAGCTTGATTTCAGAAAGAGAACATGCTTTCTCTCAAAATAAAATGTCATTATCAATGCCGTGCAGCTTGTGATAACCCAGTGGGATGCCATGTGCGAGCTGGAGAACATTTGCGCCTTGGCTTATCAAATCACTACCTGGTTCTTCATTAAAGTGATCCAGTGTCGTGAATAGGGGGAACAACCCCTCTGACAGCACGGATTCCCAAAGATTAGATAACAGGTCATTATCATCCCCTCCTTCAGGAAGATGTCAGCGCCTGACAGCAACATTTTTGGATATAACAAAAAGGCTGTGACGCAATAAAGGGTTTTCCTTTAATCACAACCACATGTTAGTCAGAGGGAGGAAAACAATGGCAACAGAAATGTATGCAAATGAGACAGAATCAACATCTCTAATGTTCCAAAACTCACTGAAGGAGTAGGAATGAATAAGTGAACAGACTTGGAGAAAGCTACAGATTACCTGAGCAAATACACAAAGCATATGCACCCTGCCACACACACATGTAAAGTAGACCACGGCTAGAAAAACAGAGCTTAGTTTTATTATGGGATTGCTAAATCTGCTCCAGCTCATTTCAGACGGTCAAGCATAAATTAATGACGATTTGCATTGTGGAATGGGATTATTTCAAAATGAAGGTTTGCATTCCGGTCTTGTTCGTGCGTGTATGCATGCACGCATGCATGTGTGTGTGTGTGTGTGTGTGTATAGCCTACCCTGTGAACACTGCGGTATGCCACAGTCCTGGTGTCTGAGGTGTGGCCTCGGATCGGTGGTGAAGCACCATGGACCCGCAGTGGAGTTGTCTGGATTGCGGCAGTAGTTCTCTCTAAGGTCATGCTTCCTGAACCTTTTAGACATGAAGCTGTTGGAGGACGTTAAAGAACATGTTTCAGGAACCAGCAGGAAACAACACTGAACCTCTCAAGCAAAGTTAACTCCTTCTTGAAACTAACAAAATCCAGTAGTTCATAGTCTTATAGCAACCTCGGTGAGAAAGACAACCCATTAGTCATTTCCAAGAAAGCTTCTGACTGGCTGAAAGTTGCCTGTCAACAAGATTAGTAAAATAAACAGTTTGAAACGTTAGTGAAAGTCCTGCTGATGGTCTGAGTCATCAGTGACATGCTATTGGTAATTACAGAAAGCATTGGAATAGTATTTTCCAACGGGGCCTGGACTTGACGTAGTATAAACAGGCTGACAAATGACTCATATCTTTTACATCAGGAGAGCACATGGCTGTGGTCACCAGTTGCGCTGATGGACACAGTGAGTGTAGTTTTTTGGAGACGGGTTGTATTTTTCCACGATGATTAAACGATAAAACTTTTGAAAAGTTTAGGCGAGGAGGTCTTTGTGAGACAATCGTAAAAGTAAAGAAACCTTTCGCTGATAAAAATGATATTTGTTCTTTAGCGTATCTGTCCATGTCAGAGCGTTCCATGCCTATAAGCTGACTGATAAAAACATACAAAGGGGCCTGGGTTTAATTACCTCATTTGTAGCGGTATTATTAGGAGTCTGAGAAGGCAGGTTCACTGGAAGTACAAACGTTCACTGCCAGCTTTGATTCGTGTATAGCTGCAGCAGCTCACTACAAAGGCTTTCAAAGTGACTTAGTGCTTCTGAAGAAAGGGCATTCTTTCATATTACATTTACATTTTTAGGGGTGGAATATTTGATTATTCAATCAGAATCGTTGCTGCAGTTTTTAAAATAGTTCATAATGCAAATTGAAAAAGTCTAAAAAATCTAAACTTGTCACGATTAGGGGGATCTGAGATGAGGTCAGAACTTTTGAATGGGTTTGATGTTATTTATTTACTCCTTCTCACACCTGCCCCAAATCTGCCAATCATGCAGCTGTTCCTCATTTAGCGGTCACTCTCCTGCTGTGATGGAAAAATAAAACGCAGGTCAAGCTGCTCTTTCCTCAGATGGCTCCAGCTCAAACGAGGATGAGGTCCTTGCATGTTTGATTTGCTGTCTGAACTTGTATTAAGTCCATGCATTTACAATGCAAAGTCTCATGAGCTCAACATCTCTTTGTATTGAACGTATAAATCAACAAACTGGGACTCACTTCCTCACTACCTCTGATGCAACAATCAGCATAATACCTCTTAGTGTCTCCTGAACCACACACTACAGTTTTTTTGTTGTTTGTTTCCTGCTCCCAATTTTTCACAGTTTTTGTTGCTAGGCTGTTACTTGCTTGCTTTTAAACCTAGAAATAGTTGGTTCACAAACCAAAAGAGCCTGAAATATTATTATTACCATTTTTTTTTGGGGGGGGGGGGGGGGGGTCTTTTTTACTGCCGATTAGACTGTCTCTTTAACATGAAATTGTGGTTAAAAAAACTTTTTTTCTTTCTCATCCAATAAATCAATATTTATTGCAAATAATCTGTGCATTGATCTTGTGGCACACAAATTAATTAATAATAATTTCACTTCCAAGATTCTTCCATTTGAGCTTCTACAATTAAAGTGGTACTTCACAAACAACAACAACAACATTTTTTTATTTATTATTTCTGATTATAGTTGGTCACTCTGAATTTTTCATGTGGCTGAACATGAAAATAGTCTCCTACACCTGTATCCTGCATTAGCTTGTGAAGGAAAGTTAATGGTGAAACTGTTTCTTGAAAGCCTGACAGAGCTACGTCACATGGTCAATAAATATTTATGGGCTCAACCACTTTGACTCACGATGGGGAAGGCTGTTGATAGTTTAGCGCCTGGGAAACGGCAGAGAACGCCTTGGTAGAAACTAACTGTTAGCATTAACAACTCCACCACACAGCAAAACTCCTTCAGGCTTGTGTTATTTGTGGAGATAAAACATCAACATTGCATAGAAAACTGAGTCAGTGGTAGAGTCACGTTCCTATTACCCAATCAGAGGTGAGATGTCCAATTATCAGAAAATAAGAGTCCAAATCCTACTTTCTCCTCTGCCTGAATTGTTCATTTTTTTCCTCACAGTATGACTTATGAGGCATTCATTTCTATAGAGACCACTGCAGATGTATAAAAATATGAGTAAAGTACCACTTTAAAGACTGACAGCCTAAAATTATTGATAAAAAGCTAATTGGAGAATCCTACAGTTGAAATATGAGGCTTAAATTAGCCATGACACCACCACCATCACCACACACGCGCACACACACACACACACACACACACACACACGCACACGCACACGCACACACACACACACACAAACACACACACACACACACACACACACACACACACACACACACACACACACACACACACACACACACACACCTAGATAAACTGAATATAACCATTGCAGGGAAAGATGAGTGGCTCTGTTACACTCTGAGGTCACTCCTGATGAATGACTGCTCCCTGGAGCATAATCAACCTATAATACATCAAACCCAAACTCACACATGAACTAGCCTCTAGCTACCAGCTAATTGTGTCTCTTCCAGTCCAACACTAACATTAACAACAGCTTATAACACCATGTTGTTTGACACCGAGGTGAAAAGTAAGTCAGAACTTTACTTGTGCTCATGAGGTATTGGTGAGGCCCAGGCCTGGCAGAGGATCCCAGTCACCGTCACTGACCTCCACCCTCTGTAGCTCAGACCTGTTCCTACAATGCATTCTCTTACATAGTCTGAAAAAGATGCAGAATGAAAAGAGGATACGGTGAGGCAAAAATGAAACATTTTAGGAACAACAGTCTGGAAATGTGACAAGTTAACAATTTGATAACTGTGTTTTTACACTAGTCCAGTGCAGATAATGGAGAAAACAGAGAGAGGGAGCCACGATGCTAAGCTGAACAAGGCGGTGATGCTGCCAAAAATCAAATCTGCTTCCCTAATCATGAGTGTCTGGATTGAGTGAAAAAAAATGCAGCCTCAGTTGTCAGTTCGACAGAAGAGGGAGGTTTCCAGTCTTTACACAAACATTGGCTAATTGCAAGAAAAAGAAGAATGGCAATGGTCCTTGCCCTTCCTTCTCCTTTCTCTAAAGAAGGCCATCCTTTCAAACATCCAGGCCCTGTGTAAACCTCAGTCAGTCAATAAATCCATCCAGTTCTTCTAAATACCCTTCACGTCCCGACCCAGTGCTTACTGCTCCCACCTGAATGGAGAGTATGCCTTGAATCTTTCTGTTCTGACCGACCGGAAGAAAACGGCTGATCCTGGTTTAAGCTTGTAAACAGAAGAAAGAACAGCACGGGGCACCTTTCTTTTGATAGAGTTCATAGTAGAGGTTTTGATGGCTCACAGCGCCTGATGAGGTTCTGTCAAATGACAGCCACTGGCACTTCCTGTTTTTATGATCATAGAGGAATGATCTGCAAAAAGAGAAGATAATTAATATGATCTGTGTTTTTTAAGTCAAATGCAACCAAGATTAATTAAAATATGCAAAGATGAGGTCTGCTAAACCATTCAGATCACAATACAACTTTATCAAACTATTTTTAACAAATAATGTTGAAGAGCCAATGAATTCATTATAACTTAAATTTGCAGTCATATCATTAAAGAGCAAGTCACCCCCTACCAGATTCTTACTCAACTCCCACTTCCTGTTTGAAAAATGCAACAAATGCTGTTGCCTAGCAGACCGAGAGAGTCGAGCCGCTAACAAATACACACACTCACGACATTGTGACATCATAATATACCATCTAACATCATAGTGTACCTCTTAGCCAATAGCGATGGCAGATTTAAATTCAAATGCAGTGCTGAGTTTTTACCTGATGACAGTGCAACACTGACAGTTTTAGGCAGAACATTTAAATTTTAACTAAGATGCACTAAAGTGCCCAATTATTGACTACACGTGTCTGCAGCATGATCAGACACTCATTTATATAGTTTATCAGGAAAAAAAATGTTGATTTGGAGTGACTTGCTCTTTAACTACACTTGTCACATTTTGGCAGACTCTGGGAAAACCATTTTGCATATTACTAAAATAAAGTGAAACTGTTACAGTGGCATCTCTGTAAAAACAAACCTGCAGGCGAATGGGAGTCTCTTACTGCGGGTGCAGGTTTTAGCACATTTGGCTAAGCTGAGTTTCCTGCTTTTGGTCAGGTGAGAGGAATCAGGAGTCACTGCAGCCAGCTGGGTGCCATCAGATTTCAGGTAGTCTTGAAGTGGATTTCTTCTACTCTCTAAGAATGTAATTACATTGTCATGATAATTCAACAATACAGATGAACATTTTACTGAAAATGAGAGAAGAGCCACTGCTGGTGAGAGTGGTTCTACAGCTGATCTGTTTAAAAATAAATTTGGCTGGTCTGGTCTCCATCCTGATGGCCTACAGCACTAAAGACAATGAGACCCTACTGGGTCTGGAAGCAAATGATACCTCACTAACATACGTACCACTTTCAGCGTATCTCACATATTTCAAGTTCTCAACTTCTCATCAAAATTGGGCAGCCACTTGAATTTTAATAAAACTCATGTCATAATTAGGGCTCCAATCCCAAAGGGCAAGGAACCCTACTGTTTTTGTACAAAATGTTCATTATTATTCTTCTCTGCTAAATCCATGTGGGCGCAAGAGCCAGAAAATGCCAGGAAAAATCTAACATGGCAGTCTAATAGAAAATCCCGACCGCAACTCAGATTCAAAAATTCATACCTGGAAAGCCCTAGGTGGCGCTATTGCGAAGGTCAATACGTTTTAGCTAATAACTCCCAAACCATAGGTCCCACAGTTAATAACTTTATATGTACTTGATCTTTGGATGATTCTACTTATTTTTTGTATTGGCCCCACCCATTTCCGCCTAACTAGATTTTTTTGCTAATTAAAAAAAAAAAAACACGAAATCTAGTTTTAATCACTAATCCATTGTTTTTCATCGAATCACCCTGAAACTTTGTACATGTGGTCTATTGATGAAGAAAAATCGTTATTATGAAGAAAATTGTGGAAATATTGAAAATTGGGCTAATGACACAATGTCAAATTCAGTGCACTAAATTCCCTAAATTATGATATTGCCACCATTTTTCAAGATCAAATGTTGAGAGTCTAGAGTCCTACAAAGTATGACCTGTTAGCCATATGTACCTAATTTTGGTCTGATTCACCAAAATCTGGTGCTAAGAAATCAAAAAGTTTGTTCCAGCTAAACGGCTTGATGGATTTCCAGAAAAGTTGGCACAGATGTTTATCAACGGACCCTTAAGCCACATATTGAAAATTGTTTGGCCTTTGACTCATGAAAAATCTATATTCTATGCAGAAATTTACAGTTCATATCCATAATTGTGTCATCTACAAACACAGAAAAAATGTAGAAATGTGTCCAAAAAAGCTTTTAGCAGTTTTCTCCAAATGTCTTCAGTATAGAAACAATTTTGTTATCCTGCTTGTTCTTTGAGTCAATAAAATTTAGAAAAATATATTTAAAAAGTTTTACACTTATGCAAATTTGTAGAAAATTGCATAATATGTCAGCCATACATTCGTTAACTCCTCCCGGCCGTCAAACCCAATCAAGTCAAAACTTTGTCTGACAAGAGGGGACAAGTGGCTGACCAAAAGATGTGGACGGATTTTTGATAGTTTCTTTATTTTAGGAAATATACCCATTTAAAATATATTTTTAGCATAAAGTTTTTGGGTATAATTTTAAAAGATTTTGACATTTTTCAAAGCTCTTCATAACAACAGTACCTAAGCTCAATTCAAGTGTATATGTAGATTTTCAGCTTGATCCAACAATAGGGGGCACTATAAATAGGAAGAATTTATACTGTTGAACTGGTCAAATGGATCTGCATTAAACTTTGTGGATTTTGTCATTATACAGTCTTAAGACAACATTTTTAATATGGTAATTATCTATCAAAGTGAGCATGGTTTACAATCATTTCAAATTTCAAATTTGAAAAAATTCCTAAAAATCATTATTTGCACTTAAAGAGGCAAAATTTTTTAAGTTGTGTTAACTGCCTAGAGGTGAGTTCACATTTTAAAATCGCTGCTCCGTGAAGAGGTTTACTCTTTCTATTTACGGAAGTGTATTTTTAGGCTAGCAGTTGTAGTGCGAATTCCAACAAGCCAAACTTCTTGAAATTTGGCACAGTGTTTACTCTTAGGTGGTTTATGAAACACATAAAATATAGTCCAGATTTAAGCACCTCCTTGTGTTTAATATTAGGACTTATTTTTATTGACAGCAACTAATGCAAATATTATTTCAAGATATGTTCAAGATTTATGATCCTTATAAAAATACAGGCAGATGTCCCACATCATAAAGGTAATCTGGGAAATGTTTGAGATTGTTGTACGAAAGCATAGAATTTTAATGATTTTTTTTACTTTATGTCAGATTTTCAGTACTGTTGAATAAAAAAGTTAATCATTTTGTTAGAAAGTTTTTTAGAAAAAGAGTAAATATAAACCATATATAACATTCCACATGGTATTTGAGATTTTACTACTAATTTTATAAAGTAGCATTATTTTTTGTGACTGTTTTAATTTTGGGCTTAACCCTTAAATTTATATTTACCAATTTTTCTTGAGAAAAGCTTTGAATCTACTGAATTAAAAACAACAGCATTGTATGTACCATGTTTACATTGCCATATGAGAATATTTAGGTAATTTTATGATGATTTATGTATTTTTTATGATTTCTTTAAAATCATTTGATCAGTAAGTCACAAAATGAAACTCATAGTTTATGTTGACATTTTATAAAATCTAGAGACATTATCAAGTACTAATAATATTCTCAATGTACTTTAATGTTTAGATTATTGTTTGGTAATATTTAGATCAAATATGGTTTTTATAATAAAGTGTTCTTATCAGTCAGTTTATTTATGAATCTCATTTTTTTATTACAAAACCTGATTTGTCATGACCCAATGATGTTACAAGAATATTTTGGAAATTTCTTTAAGAAGAACACATTTTTAAAATAATTGTTCTGTTTGTATAGCGCCTTTGTAGGGTTCTACATCTCTTCCCCCCCCCCCCCCCCCCCCCCCCAAGGTGTTTTACAACACAATCAGTCTTTCACTCATTCACCCACACAGTCATATACTGGTGGGGATGAGCTACAATGTAGCCACAGCTACCCTGGGCGCACTGACAGAGGCGAGGCCTGCCGAAAACTGGCGCCACCGGTCCTTCTGACCACCATCAGCAGGCAAGGCGGGTTAGGTGTCTTGCCCAAGGACACAACAGCAGCATTCTCTGGTCAGATTCAGGATCGAACCTGAAACCTTCCGATTACTGCAAATCCCGCTCCACCTCCTGAGCTACTGCTGTCCCATAAAGCACATGACTTAAATGACTAAATCTCCGTGTTCTTTAAAAATTAAACGATGGAACTGGACTGTAATAGGAATTGAGATGTTTACATTGCCTATGAAAGATTTTTGTATAGGCTGTGCAAAAGTTTCAAAGAGTTTTCCTGAGTGCTCATTTCATTCTGCCGGTTGAAGTGAGCTGACAGGACGTCGGCAGGATAACGTGTTTTGGGGGCTTTGCGATGTGAGGAATGGCGAAGGCGGGGGTGGGGCCTGGTCGGTCTTTCACCCATTCATACACACAGTTACACACTGGTGAGATACAATGTAGCCACAGCTGCCCTTGGGCGCACTGAAAGGCGAGGCAGCATTCGCTGGTCGGAGTCGGGATCAAACATGCAACCCTCCAATTACTGGAAAATCCACTCCACCTCCCGAGCTACTGCTGTCCCGTTGCTACACATGACTTAAATGACTAAATCTCCACAATCTTTAAAACTTTAATGATGGAACTGGATTGTTATATGGATTGAGAACTCAACCATGCCTATGAAAGATATTTGCATAGGCTGTGCAAAAGGTTCAATGAGTTATCCTGATTATTTGTTTAATTGTGCTGGTTGAAGTGAGCTGATATGATGCTGGCAGAAGAATGTGTTGTTGGGGTGGTGCCATGTGAGGAATGGCGAGGGCGTGGGTTGGGCCGGGTGGGGGACTTGCACTGGTTGGCTTGGTATTGGTTGGCTTGGCATTGATAACTGCTTGCAGTTCTACTTTTCTTTGCCATTCTCCTCACAACTCCAAATATGTGACAGAATGTCTTCATCACCAAACCAGACACTGGTGGCAGCTTAATGTAGCCTATAGACTCAACATGCATACAAGATTGTGGTAAAATTATCGGGTAAGTAGGGCTAAGTAAGCTTGAAGAGCTTAGTAAATTAAATCATCATTGGTTAATGCATTGTGTGCATGCATTTAAATGACAGAAAAAGCTGCATCAAGAAACTGTTAAGGTGTAAAAACATTTTCCTGCATCATTGCATGACTTGTTTTAGGATTCAGAGCTTTTATATGTCCTGATGAGGAATTGGCTCAATAGTTTCAGGTAGAAGTAGACCCTACTGTGACAGAACCATGGTTTTAAACTTGGCTAGAACATGTTATGGGACAAATAACGCTTCTCTTAAATTTATTTTACACCATTAACAGACCAAGTAAACGTCCCCTAATGCTGACATATGAACACATAAAGTTGTGAGCAGTGGGTGTCCGGAGAAAACCACTTCCATGTGAGCAATCCTAATAATAAATCAAGACGCTAATCTGGCGTTGAATTAAAAAAAGACACGTTTGCCCATATTAAAGTGTAGCTAAATGAGCGGGTGATGCCATAATTATCACAGTTAGAATAAAGAGACGCTCCTAAACTCGTGCGTGAGACGCTGTTCTGACACTTCAGCTGCAGAAACGTGCGTTTGGATTGTGGCCGTCGGCCGACCAAAACTTACCAGAGTAAGAAACGACAAAGAGTCCGAAAATGAGCCTGTACATCCACATGGTCGTGTCGTTCAAGAATATTACAAAGAAACGATTAAAATTCCGGGAAAGAAACAGGAGCGCTGCGCTGCCTGACAGGAATCAGCGGTTGCTGCCACCTCTGCCCAAATGATGCGTCTGCGTCTCTCCACTAAGTACTTCCCTCCCTCTCTTCTTCTCTCCCCCCTCCCATCGCGCGGTACGCATCCCTCTTTCTGCAGTCCTTACTTGTTTTCATGTTTCCTGATCTCGCCTTTTCCACGCGCACAAAGTGAATTACCAGAGCTTGGTTATCTCAGGGCCAAAATTCTGACGACACAAAGTTCTGGATTAAATTAATTGTTTAATTTCCCCCCTCTCCCCTCTTATTAAACATTTGTTTACTTTGGGGTAAAATAAAAACAGTTATAGTATTAAGGCAGCGAAGCATAGACTTATCAAAAATAACAAAATTACAAAATTAGATTTTATGTATAATTTATTGCAGATTGAAAACAAGTAATAAACAAAGATACTATAGCACCAACAACCATTATACCTATGTTTACCACACATAGTTGCATCAAGGGTGATCTTGATGTGCCTTGAGACAACTCTTGTCATGATTTGGCGCTATACAAATAAACTTGAATTGAATTTAATTGAATCTTGGCTATAGAAATGCCATCAGTGGTGCAAAATATTTTCAAGTGCCCATGTAATATCTACAAGCAAAAATAATAATTGAAATCAGTTGATCCCATTAGAGTTAATAATGTTGTGTATTAAGTAGGCATGGACAATATATCGGCATCAATATCGGTATCGGACGGTGTTAGTCATTCTTAACATATCGGCATCTGTCTGATAAATAAAACCGGGCCGATATTAACAACCGATATTTTTGCCATCTTGTCTCCATTTGTTTGCCTGTTTCAGAGGGTGAGGGGAAGGGGGGGGGGGGGGGTGTGTATTTGTTTAGTCATGTGAACAGTGAATGAAATCATCTCAGAACCATAAATGTGTGTGGTGTGTGTACATAATAACGTAAACTCAGCTTTAATAATTTTCATTTTGTACAAAATCTGCAGATTTTTGAAGCAATAATGTCAGTATATCCGCATCGGCAATTATGTGTAATCAGTATGTGTGATTATATCACTTATTTATTCAGCAGCTATTTACTCACCAATCCTGTCATTTCTGTGCATCTTGTTGTTTTGTTTATTTTTCCTAAGCTTACTAATCAACACATTTTCCCCAATGAAACAGATATTGGCACCTACTTGTCAGCAGCAGGAAACTCAATAGGGACCTATAGGCAGGGATGTTGTTTGTGCTGCTTTACGTCTGCCCTCAGCCTTAGATAAGATGAACTCTCTGATGGGGGTGAGGGAATCGATGAGTGCCATTTCTATTTCCAGTAATGACAGCATGAAGTAGCATGAAACTTAGCTACTCTTGCTTTTCAAGCAGCTCTGAAGCAGCAGTTTTTCAGCATCACCACAGTCCTTCAGCAACAACTCAGAGCATCAAATAGATTACATGTCAGGTTTGTTATAAAATCCATTGATTTACTGTAATAATGCGAGGATTTCATGCATATGTTTAAAATACATTTACAGCATGTGGACGGATAGGTGGATAATATGTAGAAAGAGGTAGACTTCATTTTTGTCTTGTGTCTGGTTTTGGTGAGTCTGGTGGATTCCTGCTGTTCGTTTATAATAAAGATTCAGCAAGGAGTCAGAGACTTTCACTGAAGCAAACCACAAGATTTAATTTCTTTATTCTTTCAACTCTTTTTTCCTCCTTTCCCCTTTAAGCCATCCAAAACACACGCTGACTCTTGCTCAGGAGCATCCACAAACATACAATCACAGACACCCGCTCGCACCTAACAAGCTGCAGATGATGACATGACCTTCACCAGTTTGAGTTTGTGACAAGAAACTCCTCATCACCACAATCTCATTACTCCACCAATAAAAAACCACTGGGTGTTTTCTATTTGTCTGAAAGGCTTCTTCTGGAAGATGGAAATTAGAGAAACCCAGAAGCCCACCACCTTGCCTTCATGCAAGCGCTGTCACCATTGGAGACTCCTAACATCTGCTGCTGGTTATTGCCAGAAACTTCTTATTTGGTAATGACGGGAGGAAGTTCAACGAAAGCTGGGTAGTGATATGGAGAGCGAAGAAGAAGCGGGTACGTTCATGCAGAGGGAGAAAACGGGGACAATGGATTTTCTGTGCGAGAGGGAAGTGCAGAACAAAAACAGTGCAGTAGCGGATGGTGTATTTGCATGCATATTTGTGGAATGTGTCTAGTATTAACAGACTTCCTGCTTATTTGTTTGGGACCGTTGTGCACATTAGTTTTGAGGGATTATACTTTTCAATAAAAGTGGGAGTAGGACAATTTGCATGTGTGCAAATTTCATCCTGCAGAAAAATTGCTTAACTTCTTCATGACCTTGAATGGCCTCTCTTCCAGACGTTATACATAGTATGATTTTGTAAATTTGACAATGGGCAGCTTATAGGATGCAGGAATGGAGTCCAGCAGGGGTGAAAATGAATTAAAACTGTTTGAAACTGATAACGTGCATTGGCTCATCTTCTTTCATCAACTTAGAGGAAGCTTTTAAAGGCTTGTGTCGATGTGTGTGTGTGTGTGTGTGTGTGTGTGTGTGTGTGTGTGTGTGTGTGTGTGTGTGTGTGTGTATGTGTGTGTGTGTGTGTGTGTGTGTGTGTGTGTGTGTGTGTGTGTGTGTGTGTGTGTGTGTGTGTGTGTGTGTGTGTGTGTGTGTGGTAAATGATGAAGCGGCTGGATAGGCCCTGTGAACACAGATACTGTGTCAAGTGATCCTCCTTTAAACAAACACACACTTCCTGTTGTCAGTGCATGGTGGCTAATGCCTCTGCTTGTAATGGAGGCCCGCTGACATTTACGAGCAACACAAACAAACTGTGTGACCACACAATCTGCCTGTAAAAACATAGTTTAAAACATGTGGGGGGAAAAAAATGTTGGGCTTCTTTGTCATTTCTGCTTATCACTTATTTTATTTTCTTACAAATTTCTAAGTTAAGGTCTAAACTAGGGGTGGAAATTTAATGTGTTAATTATGAGTGATTAATTGGAAAAAATAACTTGTTAATGAATATTTAATGCATTCAAGCACGGTTTCCTGGTACCCTGATTACACTGACACACACATTAAAGCTCGGTTCTACTAACTGCTACTAAAATAATGAATTTGAGGAATGTTCCTTGCTTGGACTAATTAGGCGTTTGAGAAAACGTGTCAGCCTCTTCCCTTAACTCATAATATAATAAAATAAACCTTCCGGAAAACCACAGTCTGTGAGACGGACATTTTCTTAGGAATCATCACTGAACTCTGCTGCTGTTGCCAGGAAGCATCACTGTTTTATTGATCTGCACACCAGAAGCTTTAAAGGTGCAATAGCAAATTTGGAAAACCAATTAGCTTAAAACATGTTCTGCATGTCTTTTAACAATGTTCTAACATAGCTATAAATATATTGTGAAGGTGAAAAAAAAGCAAAACATATCATTAAAGTGATTCTCTTGCATTTGTTTATTAATCTCCGTCAATTCCATATTTCGGACAGAAAGCAACCATTGTCTGCGGTCCCCCTATTTAAAAAATGGGGCCGCAGATTGTGTTCCTACTACAGGGGATCACACCTCTGAGCCTCCCTGGTAAGGTTTATTCAGGGGTTCTGGAGAGGAGGGTCCATCGGATTGTCGAACCTCGAATTCAGGAGGAGCAATGTGGTTTTCATCCTGGCCGTGGAACACTGGACCAACTCTATACCCTTAGGAGGATTTTGGAGGGTGCATGGGAGTTTGCCCAACCAATCTACATGTGCTTTGTGGATTTGGAGAAGGTGTTCGACCGTGTCCCCGGGGGGGCCCTGTGAGGGCTACTCCGGGAGTATGGGGTACCAGGCCCTTTGATATGGGCTGTTCGGGCCCTGTATGACCGGTGTCAGAGCTTGGTCCACATTGCCGGCAGTAAGTCGACTCCGCCAAGGCTGCCCTTTGTCACCGATTCTGTTCATAACTTTTATAGACAGGATTTCTACGAGCAGCCAAGGTGTTGCGGGGGATCTGTTTTGGTGGCCTGAGGATTGGGTCTCTGCATTTTGTGGATGATGTGGTACTTTAGGCTTCATCAGACAATGATCTCCAGCTTTCACTGGAGCGGTTCGCAGCCGAATGAGAAGCGACTGGGATGAGAATCAGCTCCTCTAAATCTGAGACCATGGTCTTGAATCGGAAAAGGGTAGAATGCCTTCTCTGGGTCAAGGAAGGTCCTGTCTCAAGTGGAGGAGTTTAAGTATCTCAGGGTCTTGTTCACGAGTGACAGAGTGTGAGATCGATGGGGGATTGGTGTTTCGTCTGCAGTGATGAAGGCATTGTACCGGTCTGACATGGTGAAGAAAGAGCCGAGCCGGAAGGCAAACCTCTTGATTTAAAGTTAAAGTCCCATAATCATCATCACACATTGGTGAAATTCATCTCCGCATTTGACCCATCCCCATGGAGGGGAGCAGTGAGCTGCAGCGATGGCTGCGCTCGAGAACGATTTTTGTTTTTACCAAGGTTGTCTTTTTTGGACACCATGACACACAAACCCAAGCAAGAGCAAGATCATCCACCTTTTAATTTAAATATTTTTACATAATTGCACAACATATATGTAAGTCTATATGCACCCTCCAATTGCTTCTCTCTCTCTCTCTCTCTCTCTCTCTCTCTCTCTCTCTCTCTCTCTCTCTCTCTCTCTCTCTCTCTCTCTCTCTCTCTCTCTCTCTCTCTCTCTCTCTCTCTCTCTCTCTCTCTCTCTCTCTGATGACTCACTTTGGTTTTAAGTCACTCCTTTAGTTCTTACATCTGTGGAAAAAAACTGCTGCGTTTTCTGTTTGTTTTACTTTTAGGTTTAACAAGAAAAGGTAATTTCTCCTTCATCATAAGTGAATAACGTGCGTTAAATGAACAATGAATATCCTGAAGCCTCCTTATCAGCAACTTTCAAACACACATGCTTGATTAATACACTTCCTATTAGGCCTTAATGTACTAAATATTTTCTAATAGAGTGAAACACACTCAGTTCACAGAGAGCAGTCCT